GATATGTACAAAAAAGTTAGTAGGGGCGGGGACACGCCCACTTTTCCAAAAAAATTACGTCCAAATATGCCCCTCCCTAATGCGATCCTTTGTGTCAAATTTCATTTTAATATCTTTATTTATGGCTTAGTTATGACACTTTATATGTTATCGGTTTTCGCCATTTTGTGGGCGTGGCAGTGGGCCGATGTTGCCCATCTTCGAACTTAATCTTCTTATAGAGTACTTGGCTACGTGTACCAAGTTTCATCATGATATCTAAATTTTTACTCAAGTTACAGCTTACACGGACGGACGGACAGACATCCGGATTTCAACTCTACTCGTCACGCTGATCACTTTGGTATATATAACCCTATATCTGACTGTTTTAGTTTTAGGACTTACAAATAATCGTTATGTGAACAAAACTATAATACTCTCTTTAGCAACTTTGTTGCGAGAGTATAATTATAATATATATATAAAAAAATTTTATATTACAATCATATAAATATTATAATATTATCAAAGGATTTTACTTATCTGTGTTATTAAATATAGATCACATATTATTCATATATGTATGTATATGGAAAAAAGCTGACGTTGAGCAACACCAAAAGCTCCGTCAGAATCGGGAAGGACCTCTCCGAGCCGTTCGATACCAAACGAGGTTTCAGACACGGCGATTCCTTATCGTGCGACTTTTTCAACCTGCTTCTGTAGAAAATAGTTCGAGCTGCAGAACTAAATAGATAAGGTACCATCTTCTATAAGAGTGTACAGCTGCTGGCGTATGCCGATGATATTGATATCATTGGCCTCAACACCCGCGCCGTTAGTTCTGCTTTCTCCAGACTGGACAAGGAAGCAACACAAATGGGTCTGGCAGTGAACGAGTCACTCATAATTCTCGTCCTGCTATATGGTGCAGAGGCTTGGACGATGTCAACAGCAGATGAGACGACGTTGCGAGTTTTCGAAAGAAAAGTTCTGCGAAAGATTTATGGTCCTTTGCGCGTTGGCCACGGCGAATATCGCATTCGATGGTACGACGACATTGACATAGTTCAGCGAATTAAAAGACAGCGGCTACACTGGCTAGGTCATGTTGCCCGGATGGACGAAAACACTCCAGCTCTGAAAGTATTCGACGCAGTACCCTCCGGAGGAAGCAGAGGAAGAGGAAGACCTCCACTCCGTTGGAAGGACCAAGTGGAGAAGGACCTGGCTTCACGTGGAATATCTAATTGGCGCCACGTAGCGAAAAGAAGAAACGACTGACGCGCTGTTGTTAACTCGGCTATAATTGCGTAAGCGGTGTCTACGGCAATCAAGGAGAAGAAGAATGTATATGGAAAAGTGTTCACATATTCAGTTTTAGCTTGAAAAATCTTCTTTATAGTTTTTTTATGGTTAATAAAGAAAAAAGAATCACTCTAAAGTACAAGCAAAGAAAACGATGAAAGTCCTTCACTTTTAGTTTTTAAGGTGTGACAAAACTGGTTTTCCTCGTAAATATAAACACTCTAAACGTTTCAGAAATAAATTTGATAAGTGATTTTTAAATTACTAAATTTAGCTTTAAAATTACAAAATTAATGTGAAATGTGATCTTATTTGAATGCTTAGAGTGTATATTTAAATATACATTTGCCACACCTTAACACAACATTTTTATATACATATTACAATTTTATACTATCCTTCTCCTCCTGCGTTGGCGGCCTTCGACCGCGCATTAAAAAAAAAATAACCCTGCCCGAGCGAGTAGCCGGGGTGACTGAAGTACTTTCGCATAGTACTCGTTTCTGCGTTAAAAATAAAAAAATATATTGAGTTTTTGTTATAAAGTGGTTATATTTTTTGGTTATAAAAACTTGAACAAAATTTGAATTTTCGTACTGTACTTGTATATTTTACACTTTATTACGTAATATTATTATATAATATTACTAATACATGTATATTATATTAGTTATTTGCTTAATAAATTTAAAAAAGAAAGTATCCATATGCATGAATAGAGGAATTTTGGGAAAAGAGGAGTTTCAGCGAAAAAGGTTTTTAGGTTAAAAACCTGCTAAAAGTGTAAAATGTGAATTTATTTAAAAGTTTATTGTGTAATTTAATTAATTTGAAATCAAAAATGTGAATAAAATGTTTTTAATGTGGTGAAATAGCTGCTTGAAATGTTCGAGGTTTGCGAATTTTTGCACTTTAAGGTCGAATATCTCGTAAACTAAACGTTTTGCTGTACCCAAACTAATCGGATTTGTGCCAATTTAATAGAGTTGAAGAATTACTCATCCTTCTTAGTCGTCCTTATCTTTATTTCGTCTTTTTTATTTTTATAAAATGAGTGGTTTATAGCAAAGTGCTTTTCACCTCATGAGGTGAGCATTTAGTCCCTTTTTCTTGTGACGTTTGAGAAATAATAACCTCACATCAAACGTCACAAACCAGTAGTGAGGTTTTCATAAAATAGGGCTGTTAGATTATAAATTTTTTTATATGTACATATATGTATGTATGATAGATAGGGAAAGAAATTACGCAATGCGCATGTTTGCTTTCAGTCAGCTGTTCTTGCAGACGTCACGTTTGACTTTTTATTCGCCCGCGGCTTTGAAAGTGAATTCGCATTGTATTTATTTATATTTTTTAAAATGCCTTGCTCAGTGTTCGGATGCAATAATAATAATGGTAAAAATTGTGCTACGAARTAGAGATTTTTCCATTTCCCTAAAGATAAACCATTACTAAAACAATGGATTTATTTTTGTCGTCGTACGGACAAAATTAACGTTTGAAATGCGTAATTATAGCATTTTGATTACAATAATTTTACTTTTGAAACCAAAAACTCTTGCAGGTTTAAGTTCGCGGAATCAAACTAAGTTTTTACCTAGCGCTTTCCTCACGTTAACCACTGCTCCTGCAGAGGCTAATGAACGGCAGAAAAGGATGGAGTCTCGTTCCAAAAAAGAGATGTTAACAATGTTCAAGAATACCACCCATGTTGAAGTAATTCAAGAAGACGAGGTTGGAGAGGCACCTCAAACTGCAGGAGAGAAGGTCATCGATGGGAAAGACGAGAAAATTGCATTTGGAAACAGAAATGTTAGTCCGAATTGATATTGATGAAGTATTTTTTCTTACATAAGTATGCATATTTCTTATTACTTTTAGACAAAGACTGAATCGTGTTAGAACTTTGAATAAATGCAAAAACGAGCAGTTAGCAGAAATTAAACGCCTTAGGATTTCCATTAAAACCTCGGAATTCCACAGAAACAATTTGGAGCAAAAACTTAGCTGCATTTTCACCAACGGCCAACAACTGAGCTAATACAAGCGCAAAAAATTTGTGTACTCAGTTTTGATGAAATGAAGGTCAGAAAAAGTTACTGCTACGATTGATCTACTGATTCGGCATTGCATCCTGTTAACTACGTTCAGGTTGCAATGATAAGAGGTAATTAAACTCATTAAATTACTTGAAGTAAATTTTTTCTAATTTACTTTGTTCTTTTACGTTTGATAAGTAAATGGAAACAAAGTGTATTCTTCGAATATGCTTGTAAAATGACGAAGGAAGTATTGCTTAGCATTTTGTCAAGTGTTAAAAAGTGCAGTTACAATATTGTTGCCATTATAAGCGATTTGGGTGGATCAAATAGACGCCAAAATCTTGGTACATTCACTAAACAATTATTTAAATTATTATATACTTTAAAATGTGTTCTTTTTTTCTTATTGCAGGTTTTAACACAACGGAGACAGGATTGTGGTTTTTTCTGATGTCCCCCACTTAATAAAAGTACAGAGAAATCATTTTTTGAATAAGGGCTTTACTATCAATGGAAAAATTTTTAGAAAAGACATTATTCTGAAGCTGCTCTCGTTTACGTACAACGAGCTGGAGCAGAAAGGCAAAAGATTAAACTGGCCAAAAAATTGTTCTCCCACGCAATTGCTCAAGCAATAACTCGAGCAGCTAGCTTAGGTCTACTAGATTACGAAAATTGGGAGGAATGCCATCGACTTTTCAAAAGTGTAAGTAATAATATATTTAAAATATTAATTAAAATGTTCATATATAATAAATATTCGTTTTGTGTACAAATGACTGGTTTGATCTAATGAATGTCAGGGTGCCCAAAGATGGAGTGAGGGAACGCTTGTACGCTTACGGTTTGCTTTGAACAAGCAAAATAATGTACTGGAACTGATGACGGAGATGGTTTCATCAATGAGAGTCATTGGTAAAAATGGTTTGCTTCCATTCCAAAAAGGTAATACTCAAGCTACATATATATTTAGATAAGTTGATTTTATACAGTTTTTTATTTTACTTAAGATTTATAGGTATACTCCAAAGCAATAATTCTTTGAAATTGCTGCTGGATGACTTAAGGCAGCAGTATAATATTGATTACGTTTTGACCTATCGATTAAATCAGGACGTTTTGGAAATTTTTTTTGGCGTAATCAGGTCAAAAGACGGTCCTCACGATCACCCTGACAGGCAGGAGTTGAAATATAGGCTGCGTTCTGTATACTTGGTCACAACGATGAAGGAAATGTTGAAGTCGACAACACACCAGATTTGGAAGGGAATTACTTATCTCTAGCCGGTAATTATCAAAATATTAAACGTACATAGTATTATAAACCTAAAACTACAGAAAACATTCTTTTATAAAAATGTATTGACGTTAACAAATGCAAATATGTACTTACATACAATCTAAGTTTTTGCATACTAAAAAGTGTTTCTTATCCTAATTATAATAATAATCTTAACCAACAATTTATTCCATTTATTTATAAGCATGTATGTATGTTTATTATATTTTTGCAGATAATATTTTTCAACGGGTGTCAGTTGATCTAAATTCCACTGACCCAATTGAAAAAAATTATGACTTGGAGATTCTCAACAACGATGGACTTGAGAATTTTGTGCCAATTCAGAAAATTGTTCGTCTTATACTTGGGTGGATCACCTTTCTGAAGGAGGACTCTCAAAACCAACAGATATGTTGATGGATCATATGAAAACCTTGCAAGCAGTATTTGAAAACATAAATGGTACTGATTTGCATATACATACATATGTACGAATTTCGTCCAGAAGCACTTAGACTTAAGTAATTTTGTAAATTGTAGCTCCAAAGTAAAATAATTGCTTTTTTAGAGCTAGAATGTATTTTAGAATTCGTTCCTTGAATAAAAACTTAATTGAACATATGTATAGCAAAAAAATTAAATTAAATAAGATAATAAATTGATAGTTGGTCACAAAATATTCAATATTTTTATTTGCATAAATGTATATGGTTGAAACAAACACAGTAAAAAGACAAAATTAAATAATACAATGAAAATACAATTAAATGAATATGTAGGTAAATGTTCACTATAAAATATTCACTTGTTGTGGAGATTGATGCCCCGATAAGAACGGGGATCGCTCTTGACCTTATCACTTTAGAAGAGGAAAAACCTTAGAGCTTTCCCCTCCCAGACGCACTTATTTGAAGTGACCCGCAGGTATTCTGGGATGAACTTCCACAAGCTTTTGTACATCTCTACGTTTAAACCATCAAAGGCGTACCCCAAGAGATTTAATGGAGAGACTGGTACCTCTTGTGCTTGAGGGACCTGACTCTCCGCCCTGGGAAAGAACGCTCCTAACAAAACCCCCCTATACTCTCTCACCGACGATAACAGATTGTCACCGACGCGAAGAGAGGTGATATCCTCCCTTCTACTACCTCGGACCCCAGAGGTCGTTCCTATTCACACCAACAAAACACCCTAATCACTAATATCTTCCCTAGTCGCACAACTAAATTCGTATATAAGCTGGCTCAGCCTATCATTTACTCCTCCCAAACTACCTCATAAAGACGAGCAATTTGCTCGTCCACTTCTAACTCCCCAAAACGGCAACTAATACCACTTTCCTAACTGAGGGTCCATATTGGTTCCAGCCAATTGGAGTGGTACGCCATCGCCGCAATGAACTGTTATCCCTCGATGGTGGAGCTTGAGGAGTAACCATAATTTGAATCAAATTATGATCACTCGCCCCCACACTTCCTTAACCACCCATCTAACGCTGAAATCTCTACTTGCTATCTACCTCCAGGAGAGCGAACATCACTTTGTCCGAACCCTCCAGGACGACATTGGTGCTACCATCAGGAGCTACCTTCCAGGCACGACTGACCATCACTAATTCAGACCTCTGGTAAACCGGGCTAAATTCCTGTAAGTTCTACCGGAGTAGTTCTTCCATGAATTAATCATGGTCTCCGAAGGATATTCCATGAAAAAAAGTTTCTTTCATTTCTTCATTTTAATGAGTGCAAAGGAGAAAACATAATTGTCAATAGTGCCAAAAGAAAATCCCAAAAAGGGTAATAATAAAACGATTGAAAGACGCATGTCATTCGTGATTGTACCACCGTAAAGGAGGCTCGTACAACAAGAAGGTAAGTAAGTGAATTTTATGTGATTTTTAAAAAAATAATTTGCGAATAATTACTTAATTTGTTTTCATAGCATTAGAAATCAGAATGAATTGGAAAAAGCAGCAACAGCAATATCATCTGAAGCGGCAAATTCCAATTGTTAAGTAAGTGTGTGTACTTTGAAATTGGACTGCATATAATACGCAAAATTAAATACATACATCATTCGCAATCGTGTTTTCAAACCGTACGCTCGCATTTTTTCTCTCGCTTGTGCTATCGTTGAGTATCTGCATTCTAGCGGTGTCTGTGTTATAACGCTACTTTACAGTTGTGCACAAAAAACTTTTTTACTGTTTATTTCCCGCTGTGTTTATTTTCTTATTGTTAACTTGTGCTACATTAATACATTTTTGCATACATAAATAGCAATATTTTCACAATGCCCCCTGGGGCCAACAATCTGGGCGATAATAGGTTTGCCCTATTATCCTCAGCCCAGAAGACTAAAAGAAAAAAGCCTGAACAATCAACGTTGGAACTATTTCCGGAACTCCCCATAACAAAGAAGGATGACCCCAAATACCTCGTCATTAAGTCGCGGGATGCCAGTCAACCTATTACATCCATCTCCTGCTTCGCGATTTATAAAGGTATTCAATCTATCACTAAAGATATTAACAACATCTCGTCACTTCGCGATGGCAGCCTACTCCTCCTCGTAAAAAAATCAAAAAATTGCTGATAAATTCCTTTTCACTAAGAATCTATCCGGTGCAGGTGCTGTTGAAGTCGCTCTTCACAGCACCCTTAACTCAGTCAAGGGCACAATTTATGCCCCCTTTATTTGCCAACTTAGCGACGATGAAATAATTGAAGGTCTCAAGGATCAAGGTGTCTCTGCAGTTCATAAGTTTAACAAAATGGTTAAAGGCGTTCGTGTACCTACTGGTGCCGTATTATTAACATTCAATAAATATACACTTCCTAACAGAATTGAAGTAGCCTGGAGCACCCTAGATGTCCGTCCGTACTACCCTAATCCTATGCGCTGCAAAACTTGTCAGCTATTAGGACACACTACTAAACACTGCGAAAAAACTCCTTCCTGTGTCATTTGCAACCTTCCTCCTAACCACTCYCCACCTTCTGATTGCACCAGAGTTCACTGCGCTAACTGCGCTGGTGAACCCTCCTCGTCCTCAAATGCTTGCCCTAAATTTATTCAATCGAAAGAAATATTAAAGATTAAAACTATACACAAATGCACCATGCGGGACGCTATCACCATGTATAAAAATCAACTTCCTTCCACCCCCTCCCCCTTCTCCTTCGCCAACGTGGCAAAAATGCAAACTAACAGCGATATAAATACAAACTCAAAAAATCCTAATAACAAAGATAATACTTCAAAATCAAAAAATTCTAACCTCAATAATAACGCAACAACAACTTAACCTAACAACGATTCATCCACCACCAACCATACAGTGCATCACATAGAAATTCCAGAAAGTTCAAAGAACTCCCCTCCTCTATAC